GGCGGGCGTGCGTGCCCCACCGGTATGATAGATAAAAAATATCATGGTTATATATATATATATATATATATATATATAACGCTTGGCACAAAGTGTTGTTGCCCGGTTGCAGTGACCAGTGTACTGGCGTGTGACAAGACGGAAGATGCGCTGTGATCAACCTGACAGATTGTGTGTTTTGCACAATTATCTTAGGAAAACTGGAGGATTTTTTGGGGCGAGATATGCGTTGGTTGAGAAGGTCGCATAACAGTTTCTCTGTGGCGCTATATTTCAACAATACATGAAGCAACCCAAGTCTTTTCTTGTGTCACCACTTAGTCGCTCTGTTATTAGCTAGCATCAGGTACTTCGGCTATGTATTCTGTTTCGATATTTTCAAACTTAGTGTGTGTAAGCTCTGTTGCTGGAAACCAACAATCCTGAGTGCATCGTTTACCGGAAGCATCCACGTAAGTTAATTTCACACTTTTCGTAGGCTACATATTCCAGTTACCCAGCTGTCAGTTGCGGCAGTGAATGTCAGTGTGATAATTTGCGATGTTCCGACTCTTCTCGTTTCAATTTGAGCATTCCCTTTCACTTTGGTTTGCAGTATTCAAAGTTCCGAAACTTGCTTACGGATCTCCCCGCCCGGTTCTGCACTGACGATTTTCTGCGAACAAGGCGGCCATTTCGAGCTTCAACTCAACCCTGTTGGAACGGAGAACACCTGGTCGATGGGTAATTTTTCAACCTTCAGTAAACTATACCATCTGATCGGGTTATTAGCCGTTAAACATAGGACGAAACACTGCTAATCAGAGCATAAAATCTCGCGAAGTAGGCAACAGAGGGCGGACTTTGTTTCGGTGAACGACGGAAAATCTTTCAGAAAACTAGGTAAACAGCTTGTTCTCACTCGCAGCTCCAGCGTACACGAAGGCATTTTAGACATCCAGTGCTCTTGTGACAACAACTCTACCTCATAACTTTGTCTGTTGGCATTAGGTTGCAAGCACACTGTGTCACACCACTACATCTCTCCTTTGTTCCCGGATGCTTTCAAATATATTTGAACGTGAATGACAGTGGTTTATTGTTTTCTGCGTAGAAAAGAGGTTGGAAGCTTTGAGTGTGTTTCAGCTGACTGCAACTGAAATTCTGATTGAGAAGAAATATCATGGGACGATTCAAAATCATGATCACAAAAGGGTTATTGTAATTAAGGTGGTTTTGAGAATCTCCTCACCGCAGTCACTACGAATATGGTGGATTGTGCGCTCGAATAAGCGTAATACCTATTTGGGTTCAGTAATGGTGAGAAAACAACGCTACGAGCAGAGTTTCATAGCTCTACCTTTTGACTTTCATGAGTAGCCCTCCTCAACAGAGAACTAATCGGACTTACAAAGAACTGGCGTTTACCAGTGTGTGGTCAGACATTAGGAGGCTCAGTGAGTGTTCGAGTTGAGACAGTCACATCTGTGGATCGTAGGTGAGGTGGTCGTGTGATTGGTTGGTGTTCCCAATTCCGAACACTAAGTAGATGTGGATTGTTCGTCGTTCCGATTCACACTGCCGGGCCGTGTGTGAATGGCAGTGCATATGCACAACACTGCTCTATATGAGTTAGCAGGCCTTTGGTCTTGCTGAAAAGAAATCAACAGTCGAATGTGGCGCCCAAAACAAACTGGAAGAAGTTAGGGCGATGTTGAATTCGCTCATCGTAAAGAAGTTCAGTCGCTCCATAGTTAAAGACCAACATAATGGTCGATCAACTTTGCCGGCGATCGCAGCCATAGGCTTCAAAAATGGAAATGAAATTAACTGAAGGAATATGGAAACTTGTCCCGCTAATCAGCACCTTGTAGCCTGAAAGCTCATAGTTCTGAAACTCCTGCTCCGGTTCTGTCACTCTGCATGACAGCCATGATCTGGTTCAGTCTGTAGAAAATAGGAGCGTATGCTACCTATCGTTTCTTCTCTCGGGATAAACGAAACAATTGGCATGTGACATATTAGGGATCACATAACGAGATCAACGCTTCCCGAATATGCCGAGTGACCAGCCAAAATTAGTTTCCAGGAGAGTATGCTTTCTCCCCCGTGTTATCCACTCACATGAAGTTTCAGAATGAAATGACTATCTCTGTTAACCAGTAGACTCTGTGGCTTCTGTTATGGTAAACAAATTGTGTACTCAAAAACCAAAATGGTTTTCCCGGCACAGTGTCTCTTTTGAGAGCCAAACTTCAACACTGACATCAGTGACAATCCCACTATTCGGTCATCTGTCACCTCTTTTTCTCCTTTTCATGATCCGGTGTCGCTTTATTCTCTCGAATGAGCCTCATTCTTCTGTTTTCGCGGGTAAATTGGCCATCTAGTGGTCTCTTAGTGAGGGGGTCTAACGTGAAGTGTACATGCAAAGATCTTTTTGTTTTGTCACCGGTGGTTGGCCTATTGACAGTTATAACACGTCGCTACATAGCTCAATTCATTCTCCAGTATGTTCAGCAGTGAAAACACACTAATTTGGATTGGACTGAACTTAATGTAGGATCTATTACATTCGATCATTCGGAAGTACTCCAGCAGTTACAACGGAATTGTTGGCGACCGTACTATATCCATGATGATTTTTATTGGCTTTTCAGATCCAATGCATTCGCCCTTTCGTCTTGCTTTTTTTGTTTATTTTCTCTTATCCTTTGATCTTACGGTAGCTCCTCATTTCGAATTGAAACTGAGCCTGAGCTACTGCCCTCCATTTCATCAACTGGCCAGGATGCCTCTACAGACACCCTGTACCACGAGTTACAGCGTATGAGTGAGAAGCTTGACGCGATTACTCGGTATCATGCTGATCCAGATTACCTCCCTGTAGACAATTCATACGTTTCACGGTACTCCGATACCGTTGCTTCATGGCGCGACACCCCGGAATTCGCTACCACGTTGGAACGCGGAAAACTTGCCGTAAGCTTCTTGCTGTGTATCGTAAAATCCTATTTATACGATTTTAAAGCGGACGCATTGTTCCCGAATCGCACTGTGGCTAACGGAACATTCGGGATCTCCAATCATTGTTTGCCTTCTAGCTATGGACTAGATCGTCTACTTTTAGAACAGTAGAAAAGTAACAATGCCAGCGAACCCCTGATGCATGGTGATACTACTGATATTTTCATTCACTGTTGTTGCACATGTACCTAGACGAATGCCCCTTAACGTGTGTTGGGGACGGGTATTTGAGAGTCCGGTGGCTGGAACTTAGCACAGCATTCGTGTGCACTGTGATTTCACATAGTTTGTAAGCCATTGATGTGGCGGTTGGTTGAAAATGTTTGTTGGATTTAAGTCATTGCAGTTTACGTGACCTTTATAGTGAAGACTTGTTGCTTTCTTGTTGTGCCAGACAAAGTTCACTTTTAAATTACAGCTTTCCGTGCATGTTAGTGCAGGTTTGACACACTTCTTGGTGCCTCTACACGACAGGGCCTGAGTGCCACCGATCAACCAGCCTAACCTTCTCGTATCCCTCAAAAAAAACTTACCACCAACGTTTTTTCGCCAGTGTTGTGCACCCTTTGTTTTAACAGTGTTGACAGAGATAGGGGTTGGTAGATCCTGATTTGAATTGCCGACGGACAGTACTCTTCGTTCGGGACTTCGCGCGGATATCTGACAAGATTTTCACCTGCAGACGTGTAGGATGCTGGGTGTACTGGGCGTCTTGGGTGGTTGATCTTCATTTGAAGAGCATGTAGTTTGACGGGCTGTCAATCTTCTTTCTCTCTCAAACAGAATTCCATACTATCGCCCCATCTTTGTTCCTACCTAACCTTGTTATTGACACTGTCCTGTAGGATCTTTCCGGTGTTTTAGACTGACAGTTTTGAGTTGCTACTTGGAGAACTGCTTTGTGACTAAGACTACGATAGTGATGGTCATGGTTTGCGGTCGCTTGTGCGACACCCAAAGACTATCGATAGACGTAAATTTCTATTCATGCTGAGCTTTTCTTCACGGAAGTGTGAGGTGGTGGTATCAAACTGATCATAGTGAACATCCATTCTCACCTTCAACGAGGGCACATTCGACCCAACTGGTAAACTTGCATATCTATGTGATTGCCTCGCCGCAACCAGCATCAGCAATAAAATAAAGCGTAACATTAGCTAGGATCGAGCAGTGTCTGTCAGCTTCAGCCACTTCGAGACAGTCCTACCTGAAAGACACCTACACACGCTCTTGTACGTACCGTCCTGCTGCATGAGAATGAGGCTATGGGTAAGCCGCTCTCGACCATTGCGGTTTGCAGAAGCCTATCCTCGGTTGGTGGGAACAGCGAGTGAGTAATGAGCAAGTCCATCACCAAGTACTGAGAAGTGGACGATACTTCCATTATCGTATTGGTATTCTGACGCAGAACCATCTGCTCTCCTTGCGACATGTTCGAAGAATGGCAAGTCGCCAACTGCATTCCCATGCTCTGTAAGAACAGGTGAGTTGGGGACCACAAGGTGGGAGAGGAAATGAAGTAGCACAAACGCCTGATAGTCATCACTGTGTTCGGCTTCTTTTGGTTCACTTTAACTTCCTAGGTGGGAACCTCGGAATGACGACTGTGCCTTGTTGCCTTGCTACCAGTAAACGGCCGAAACATGAAACATGAACCTGACAAACTGTCTAGTGTTTTCAGTATGCCAGAGAAAAATAGGTACGATTGTCAAAGGGAGCCACAGTTCACATTTACCGCTTGTCCGAATAACGACACTGTCGTGGAGAAACGCATGACAAGACAGATCAGAATATTTCGGTTACGCATTTTCACGTTGCCTCTGCGCCACTTAGGGCGCAGAGCTCATCGGAGATGCGCATAGACGGAAAGTCATTGCAACCGACCATGTTTACGCGGAGTCCAGCATATCCCAAGATTGCCGGTTGATGGGCACGGTAAGCCCTGTCTTTACTTTACTTCACGAAGACTTTCTCCTGTAGGAGTCGCTCAAAAACCAACAAAAGACTTAGCGTCGTTCAATTTCTGTTCCAGCAGTTGGTCCCGTAAACCACCTTCAAACACAATAGTTCGATTTAACTGTTGAGAGCTAGGCTTCCAGCTGTCCTCCGGTGCGACAGTGCGCACAACATAGGCGATAGAGTGTGTACAGTTCGATTTCTGATTTGTGGAGGACGTGTCCAGGCACATGAAACCCTAGTCTCCGAAGAACTTGGTTTCTAGTTCGATGGAGAAAACATCTCCAGCTACGCCCGCCCTCCGAAAGCTATTCAGTTAGAAAACTAAGAAAAGGCTTCTGCAAAATTCTCCGCAGCCGGTTAACCTGTGGTCTCTACGAGCTGTCCATTAGTCAGACAAAGAGTGAAGGACAGACTGCCTCGCCAAACCGCGTAGATTCGTATTTATCAGTTTGCCTACTTCTGTGGAACCAGATACATTAACCGAACGAGACAAGTGTGCATATGAATGTCCGAGCATCTCCCGGTTAGCTTTCAGAAAGATCAATGGTTCAGGTTCAGGTTTATACCCTTCGATGAACACCAGATACCACATGAGCGCTACAGCGGCCTTTACGTCTGTTTATAAAACACCGTCAAGCTTACAAAATTCCAGTAGAACGGAAATTCTGGTCACCACATAGGTCATTCTGCCCGAGTTCACTAACTTGAACTTTTTTCGAAAGTGATTCGTACAGTCTTCGGCCCTCATGTGATCGACCAGTTAAATGCTGGGATCATTTGGCTCCCACACGTTGTGGTATGTAGTCTTTTACCACTGCATTTTATTCTGACTAATATTCTATCATGTCCTATCAGTTTTATTGTGTATTATATGTATGTCCATGTGTGGTAAAGAGGTCTTGCAAATGAATTCGGTCTGCGTTGTTAACTTATGAAACCTTAGATGAGGACGTCCTTACCAACCTGACTAGCATATACACGGTTATATAATTCCAAAGTTGATATTTCATCCTATTCTCGGCAACGGTGAAGTCGATTTGCGGAGCTCTAACTTCCGGAAAATAGGACTTCAGCATCCGTGCAGGCGAAGAGAAGCTTCAACGGTTTGGGTATTCCGTGTCTGTCTGGAACAACGACGTATGTTTGCTTGCTTGGCCAACTCATCACCCTTGGTGATGGGAAGGTTAACAGAATTCAAACCAATTACTGGAGGGTTGAGTAGTGCAAATAGGTCTTATGTTTTTCGAGATAGAATAGTAATTTCCAAGTCTGGAGAAGACAGTGAACACTGTTGGTCGCCGTTTTACAGGGACGAGTGTGTTGGGGCAAAAGCTTATCTATCCTCTCGACAACCCACTACCGATTTTACCCTTTTTGGAACTCATCAAGTAGATGTAGTCCCCGAATTTCTATCAGCCTGTTCTACTTGAACAAGTGATACGTAAACAACAGAATGCACCTAGCCGCAATTGACAATGGTAGCGAGAGACTCAAATGAATCTCTCTTGTTTTTTTTTGATAACATATGTGCTGCACGCAGGTCGCCTCGTGTTTTAGTTGGCAGTACATGTTCTTGACAGGACACACTGATCTCCCTTTAACATTAGTTTAGTTGGCAAGTAAGTGTAGTTCGCGAATGGCGTACAATTTGGCTCCAATTAGGTCATAAGGTTGGTGGGAACTCGGGGACTTCTCCTACTGATCCATCAGAACGACGAAACCGGTAGTATGTTTTCGAAAAATTTTTAGTAAATGTAAGTATGATGCTCCTTCTAGACAATGTATTGCGATATCTTGAATAGCATTAGGCCTACTTTGTGCAGTACATCCAGTTGAGCAATATCGTAAAAATAAGGAATTCGTTTGGATAAAACAAATATACTTTGAAAATAGGTGTACTTTCTTTGATCTGTCCGCGTCACAATCAATGGGAAGTTCTGGGCTAGTCTTATTAGTGCACACGTGGTGGCCATAATGCAAATCAGAAGGCGCATGTGTGCACTAATAGAAGTTTTTAGCATGGTTGCGATACGTATAAAAATAAATACAGCGTGAAATGGGAGCGTGTCAAAAAAGGGAACTTATCGTATATGAGAGTCCCTTGGTGAAAGTCCGGACGGCGGGAGCGTGTTTTTCTCCGCAGTTCGACTGCTACACATACTCCATGGTTGTGCGTGGACTTGTGGAGAGGTTGACGTCCTGCTCCCTGCGCGCGCGCGAGTCTGTTTCTTGACTGGGTTCGGTTTGCCTTTATGTAGGTCCCAGTGCGTGTATGTGGGCGCGTCAGCACATGAGTGGTTGCTACGCTGACTAGGCGGTGCAGACAATCGATGTCGGACGAGTCAGCTGAATGCGACGTGTTTGTGCATATGAGAAAAAAGACAAGCCTCGCGATCCAGTGAGCGACTGTGTGTTGAACAGTCAAGTATGTGGGTGACTGGGTCGCTACAGTCTGCAGCACTCAGTGAAGACAATCTTGGGGAAGCTTCCCAGCAAATCATAGTAAAATGCAAGTTGAAATATGAAGTTGAAAAACTGTGTGGGGCGGTGCACGCTGTGTGAGGCACAGCGTCAATATCGTTATCGCTGTCTGCTAATAATAGAGTTAACGGTAGAATCCCACCCACTAGCCTCTTAATTCCCGTTCCCGTGAATATGCCGTAATGAACCGTCAATCTTAATGCCATTGATGCTGATTACGACGGCTTCAGATATCGAGAACGAAGGTGTAGCTGTTCCACATCTCGTATTTATATTTTTGCAGTATAGATAATGCAGTTACTGTAGGTGGTTGTCTTGCAACTGTATGGTTGACATTACTTTACACGGCGATACTAGTATCAGCAACTGATTGCGTAGGTCCCTGTACCTGTTTAGTCGTCAAGCGGAAGAGCTTGACGGAGCTTGTCAGGTATCATGACAGCGCTGGTGATTTGTTGAGTGGCTGCTTCGCTTAAGAAGTGTGTCTCCTGACTATTGAGTTCCCGAGTGGAGATTATTAAAAAGCGCTTTGTTCGGACTCCTGTGGAAGAAATTAGAACCGTCAAAACACTTCATTATTAGAGGTACTGTCCTATCCACCTGCTGCCATTCTACTTACGCCAACTACATAACCGTCCAGTCTTAAGTGTTAACCCTCACTTCTCGATTAATGGGAATTCCTTACTATCTCCCCTTCCATCGCTATCTTATTATGGGTAGCAATTTCCACTCTTATTTCAGGTATCTTCGAATGTTGTCCCTGAATTCCTGGGTTCGGAAGGCGAAAGGAGAGGTATGCTGAACATGACTGCGCCATTTGAACTCAGCAGGCCGAGTGACGGTTCTGTCGGCGATCGTCAGAATCCGATTCCCGTTCATGAGGGCGGAAGTGGTTCGCTACCTAGCATTCATCAAAATAACATCTGGACATTAGGACGAGAACCCGAAAATGACGGGTACTTATTGCTATCTCAACATGCTAGCGACTCCGTGGTTCGGGATCCAGTGTCTCCAAGTGAACGTCATTCCGATTTCGCTTCTCCTTTGGGCAGCCGCTTGGATGACGAGGATACTGTGATGCAATCTTACAATGAGGTATGTTGGAGCTATCCAATCCGTTCTGGAATTCCTGAATCTATCCTCTTGATATCCCCGATTTTAGTATTCTATTTATTTTTTTACTTATTTTCAACAACCAGGCCTACGAATACGTGTCCTCTCTACTTCTAACCATAAGATGCTTATATAAAGCCAAGAGTAACCCCATGATTGACTATTTTTACTGGCGAAGTAATGACAGGTTGCTTGTTTCCCTACATATTTGCACCATATTACCTGTTGTGCGACCTTAGCACTTGTGTCAAAGATGTAATTCAAGCTTCGCTGGTCAGTTTATTTTTCCAGTTGTAAACTGTGGGCGAAGGTTCGGTGGTCCCGCCTGCCAGTGCCGTTCACCGACGACAAGNTGCGACCTTACACTTGTGTCAAAGATGTAATTCAAGCTTCGCTGGTCAGTTTATTTTTCCAGTTGTAAACTGTGGGCGAAGGTTCGGTGGTCCCGCCTGCCAGTGCCGTTCACCGACGACAAGGATAACAAAGGAATGGCAGCCACGCGTTAGAGGTAGTGGCCTAGTCAGTTCACTGATGCCAAGTTATTCTGTTTATATGACAAAGGAGGGAGTGAAAGGACAACAGCCTCATTGCACTAGCCATTGATTTGCCCTTTTCCACTCACTATTCTTGTTGAACTTCGTCATTGGTGAAATAACGAGGCGGATGCTGGAAGGTTTTCTAAACTTGCTGTTCGAATCGTTCCTGCTGAGAGTCCTGTCTATCTTAGGTACGCAGACGACACCGTCCCCACCTTTGAAGACGAAGGTGAAGCACAGGCCCTGTTGAATAAACTAACCATCATCATACCTTTTTCGGCATGCGCCTTGCACCTTCACAGTGCAGAATCCTTTTTCAGAACGTGCAGTTTCTGAACATACCCCTTAAAGCTCACTGTATGTTGTAGAGACTCGCATACCTTGGCAGTCGTATTAGCTCTGGCAGAAGTGTGTCTCATGAGGTCAGTGCACGAATCTCAAAGGCTGGCGCCATATTTGCGTCACTTGTGGCATCGAAAGCGTACAATCACTGGTTCTCAAGGTTCGCGTGCACCAGGCTACAACAAGGGTTGTATTGTATGTATTGTACGGCCGCGAGACATGGCCACTACAGACAGATGATCTGGGGCTTCTCTAGGCTTTTGACCACCGATGCCTCAGAGGCGTTATGGGTTCCGGGTGGCGTCAACGGATTCTCAAGGAGCGAATTTGGAAACGTAATTGGTTGCGTCATGTGTACTTCAATCGCTAAAAGTATTCAGCAATCGTGGCGGCTCGGCCATGTGTTACGCCTGCCCAGACATCGTTTGTCGAGACAGGTGTTGTTCCCCATATCTCCTTCAAAATGGTGCAAACTGTGAGCCGGACAACACATGAAGGTTGTGAAAAAAATATGAGGTTTTAAGTGTTGTTGGTGCGGTTCGCTTTCCAAGATGACACCCTATGAACTACCTCCCTGTGGATGGCTGGAGGCTGTGAGAAATGGCAGCTAATCGATTTCATTGGCTTTGGTGATGTCATTTTCTACCCAAATTTTTCGAGTTATTGTAATTGTAGACACCCCCAGAATGGTTGCCGTAGGCTAGCAACAGACCCCTCCATTGTCCACTCTTCTTCACTTTGAAGCCTTGAATATAAAGAAACTTTATGCTGGTGCGGCAATGAAGCACCGGCGTCTGATGATGGTGATCGCTGTTTTGCCTTGTCTTCGGGTTCCAATTCAGGGAGAGAGCAGTTTCCAGGGTTGGAGCTTCGTTGCCAAGTCACGTTATCCCACAATTCGTCAACCCGAGCGAAGAGTGCTCCTCGAGGCAAATGGTCTCCTGGTGTATGAAGTACACTCATGTTTCTGATCGTTCGTTAACTTGATAAGTCGCCAACTCCCAATTCGTGCCCCAAGATCTCATGTCTCGAACCACCACCAGAGAATTCAGTGCAGAATTGGTCTCCGTGGGTTTCCCCCTTAACCAGCCGCCTGATCTCGACTTGTTTCCTATACGTTAATTTTAAGCCAAATTTGATGTCCGTTGTTAGCCATCTGTACATGAACAAAACTTCCCGCATGACCAAAATCAACGTGGCACTGAGAGATCACCCAACGCAAAATACGCATTATTGAGTTTGTGACCAAAGGTCTCGTATCGCTAGCGTTTACACGCCATGGACGAAAGATGCTTTATTTTGTTTACCTTTATTTGTCCCATGCCTAATATCCACCACATTTTAGTAGTGTTAGGTTAGATCTACACCATTTTTCGGGTTCCTCTATCGAACACAGGACAAGTTCCGATGATAGACATGCAGTCACCTCTTACTGGTGCACCGGTATGTCTCGATACTACATATTCAGGGTTGTTGAATGGTTGTGCACACAAAGCGGTCGAAACCATAATGTATTCAAAGAGTTTTGTTAACCATGTGCAGAAAAGTAGATATTCGGACATTTAATCTTCTCGTTTCTCAATAGGGTACATCTCGTAAGAGGACAAATTAACACTCCCAACGGGTGTTTCTTTATGGAAAGAGTACTGCGTTCGCAAACGAAAACCAGTCGAGCTAAAATGGTAGCCCTGTGCAGTTAGAATTCTTGGGACCAAAATGGATTTCATCTGTTTGTGGATCACCTGCTAGTAGTAACATGTCTTCACAATTCAGGCTCTCTAAAAACCATGCCCTTCGTTGGTAGTCTGTCCTTAGCTAGTACTCTTTTTTGAACGCTCTATTGGGTGGCTTCTAATGAGGGTTCTGGGTGTAAATGGCCTCGTTGTCATAACAAGATTAGCAAGTGCTTCAGAGAAACCTATTGTCAAACAGCCTTCTTGGATCTGCGCACAGCGGGCGTCTCAGGTCGCACCGTGACAGCGTATACCCTGCCTCAAATAGTCAAACTGACGTCACGTGCCACAAATCTGCAGGTTGGAAAACGCTGTCCTAGACAGCAATTTCGAGCTTCGCCAATCCACCGGGACACCTGCGGATGCAGATGGACGAATTTACCCACGACATCGATCGATTCAAGTGTGAAATTTGGGTTTGAACTCAACCAGTCTTGCGGCAGTATTTTACATTGTGTAGGCGCATGCCAAACTGTGCGGCAGAATTATTTAAAATTTTCAAAATAGTCTGTAGTTCTACAGGCTCTAGTACAAGAAGAGTCGTAAACCCGCACCCTTCCACGGTGGGAGATTTACAGCGTCTTTGAAAGAGATATAAATGTAGGAGGGGCGCCTTTCATTGGCATACACTGCGATAGTCTCTTATGACCGTGGTGCCAGGGTGTCTTGATAGTAAAATGGTCTTTCAGTTACAACCCTTCTTCAGTGCGTATATTCCGTGCCACCTGAATGAAACACGAGCACTGAGAAGTTGTCATGTAACCAAAGCTTAGTCAGAAGCAACGGAGATGCCAATATTGGGTTCGGGTCGCGCATCTTCCGATCAGTAACGTCGTCTTTTGACCGCTGAGTTATCTCCAGTTTACGATGTCCTAAACATACTACAAGGTGCATTTGAGCATTTACATCAAAAAGGTTCGGCTTCAAGGGCGAAAGGACCCAAATACATTCAAGATTAACTTTGTGTGATTTCTGCTACATTAACTGCACAACAGTCCTAGAATGGTTGTGGTTAAGGCGCGAATATACTGGCCGGAAGGTGCATGTTCAAACCCAACCCTGGCGCACTGATTGCTCCTATCTGGGCTTTGGCACCATGCTAGCCTCTCATCCCCCGTGCTTCCTGTAGGTGGCGTGGCAGCTAGGGCATTATAGCTGAACGACCATATTATCATTATTATTATTATTAGAATACACCATGTGGGACCACGTCAATTGGTGTATCGTGAACGCCGACCCCTAGTGGGAGGTCCACACTAGGCTGCGGCTGGAACAAACCGCCGTCTCGGACTGCTAAGAGAAGTATGGACAAACCATCATAAACCGCCCATTTTAACCAGCTTCCCGATACACAACGTTGTGCTACTCCATTTTGTGGTTGGGATTCCACGGTGTGTGTACGGTCGGTCTGAGATACGAATTTTGTATCTGCTCATTTCATCAATCTCTAAATCTGACAGCTCTACTCCAAGGCCTGAGCTGCGTTCATTTGTGAATCTGAGGGTAACCCCTCGACATTCTGGGCTTTGCATTTAAGAAATGTAGGCGTGTGTCAATACTGTAGATATCCTTTCATTGGACTCTGTTCCGCGGTCAATCATATCTGATCCAATCGTTACAGAGCCCTAATTGGTTGAGTTCCTTGTGCTGTAAGACCATGTTCAGTCTTTTCGAGAATGAATTTTCCGAAAGGTGTAGATTTTATTCACATTCACGGAGGGTAATAAGAACTCACCTCTGCACACTTGCAATGAGAGAACATCTCAAGACTATCATTAACCACTGGTTTAATTTAATTTNGCTCGTGGAAAGAAACAAACGCCATTCGACTTAGTGACAGAGGTTCGTGAAAACCAGTCTAATTCTTCACGGGGGCTCCCCGGTCACCGCTCAGCCGTCGTATCCAGCACGCAGATTCGTAAGATTCATGCTCATCAGCACCATGACCCTCCTGATCAGATATGGATACCAGCGAAAGCAGTGCAAACTTTGGATATGCATAGCGGGGTACCTCACTCGAGACATTTCTTCAACAGCAATTGGTACTTTTTCTTCAGCATTTTGCTATTCTCTTTATGATTTCTATTGCATTTATTTCCCGGTTTTCGTTATCATTGCTGTCTTTCGACTTATACCAGCAGCCACATAATTTCGCATCTCTATAAATATACATTTTATGAATGGTTTTTTTGCCAACTGATACACTAGCTTGGCGAAAAGTACGGGGTCTAAGAAGTACCGTTTTACGAATATTGTTTTTACCGAAAGCTCAATCAATCATGGGTAGGTTGATATCGTCCATAAACAACCAGGACGACTGAATTGACAGTTCATAGTGATTCACGACTCTGCAAATACCAAGCTGTCCTGTACAAATAATCCGTTTGCTCACAAACTCGCAACAAGGAGTAACGCGTCAGGACAGCTTAACACCGAGTTTACCAGGTGAGGCTTACCAACGGACTCCGGAAGTTTCTTTAGAGGACAAGATAGAACTCATCGGGTAGAACACGTTCAGAAACTATATTTTCGGTGTGTGAGCGGGTTTATATACAAGGATGATATGATACAAATGCAGCACGCCACTCGTGCTATCGCCTGAGAAAATTAGAATTCATCTCGCCTCCCTGTCTCCGACCCGCTTTTCTGTGTACTCCCTCCTCAATCGAGCTTCGTTGGGCATGGTCGTTTTTAAGATCAGCGATAAATGACGGACCATGACGACTTCTTGAATCCGAGTCACGCTTGTCGTATTCGAGTTTCTTCTGATAGTGGTAACTTGTGCGCACCGATCGGTCCTTTTCGTGTTCCTTTGCGTCGGACATCATCTGTGCTCGGCGTTCCTCGATCTCTTGTTTAGATAGCTTTCGCTTTTCTGGTCGCTGATCATTCGAAGATGTATGTGATGTCGATGGTTGGTGGTAACTGCGCTTGTCAGCTTCAGATGACCGCCCAGAATCCATTTTGTCTCCTTTTTCAATCAGAGCCTTTTCATGCTCATCAGACTGCCGAACTATTTTTATGAACTTGTCCAGGAGCTCGTCACTTGAACTTGTACTTGAACTGCTACTACTGCTGCGCGAACGGCTACAACGTGCATGCCTTCTAGCCTTTTTCTGTTTTCGTTTCTTTTCGTTCTTTAGTTTTTGCATGGTTATCTGGAGAATATAGGTATAATACACCGAAATGAACCTACTAATCGGCGCAACTTTTTAACCTTCGCAGTATTCCGTAGGAGTTCGATTCTTTTCTCTGCTTCTCGTTGTCTAGATCAGAAAATGTTATGCATGGAGTAATTTGTACTTCATTATTGTCAGAGGGTCTTCCCGAACTTTTGTTTCCATGTCTATGCGTGCCAGTCGCTGTGAAGCGGACTCCTCATAGTCTTAGAGGTGAGAGTGAGTAACTTGGACTCACCTTTCCCAAGCTTTTGGAGATGTTCCAAGTCTGAAACCTCTTTACCGAGAAGGTAAGCTTCAGAATCCTCCTTTGATGGGTTGTACATCCATTCAATATCATTCTGAGCCCTGGTAATGAAAACCCAGTTGACAATGAGACTCGCTCACTTGTCTTTTGATAAAAGACTGGCGATTTTGGCGCGCTCACTGGAGGGCTGTATGGTGTGGAAAAAACGTCATTAGACAGAAGTGGGTAGGTGAATGTGGTAGAAGGAGCACCGATGGAGAATGCGCAACAAGGAATAAAGCTCTATCAAAAGTTGAATTTAGTCGGTAAACGTGTTTTGTTTGGTCCCATACTCCACCAGTGTGGGGCTGGGATACACTCGGCATGATCCTGGGCTCTGCCTCGAAACTATGGGAAGGCGATTTTACATAAATCCATGGCCGGCTAGCAGAAAATGGACTAATCTTCTCAACCCAGGTTACTGAGTCACTGCTTGTTCTGCCACGTAACTGCATTTTACCAGTTAGGGTCATATTGCGTCTAGGCAGCAACTGTTACGGTGCGAACTTACTGGTCGGAAGCTCCGTAGCTCGAACCCCAGCTATGCATCTCGAATCCTACTGTCTAGGCCTGGGCAACCTGACCTCAAATGGAAACGCTACAGTTAGGTGACAGGAAGAAGCAGCATTTGGTGGGTTAATTGAGTTAGGCGTATGAAAGATACGGTCTGTGTTCTAACGACCGCGGTTTAAAAGTACCGTGTGCGCCAGCACGGTGGTTAGAGCCGCGTGGCTTAGGGTAACGATTAGTATGGAAGTGGGTGCAGAAAAAAAACGTCAAAACAATGAAAATAGGAAAGAACGGTGGGTTTGTGATTGAGGAAAGGAGAATGAATACAGCGACGACATTGGTTGTACCACATCACCATGTCGGTATCTCCAACCACTGATGTGGGGCTTTGTTTCAACCTCACAGACGACATGCACTAGTGCAAGCAACATTGTTTTTCATGCCTCGTCTCCAAGTTATGCGCTGCCTACTTTTTGGTATCCTCCAGTCGGAACCTGCTTCAGGAAACAAGTTACCGTGAGAAGACCGATCGTCCAGTCATTTGACCGCTACGGGGCAGCAGATGTAGACGAATAAACTCTTCAACTGGACAGAAAGCTTATTTATTGCAAAAGGCATTCGTCGCACCTCATCATCACTAATTCGATGTTCTCGCAATATAATGCTCCTAGGTTAGCGACAGGCAGTATTTTCTCTTGTCTTCAACGCATAGCGGCTAATCTTCGCCACCGTAAAGCAACACTGGACGCACTGCATCGTTGTAGAACCTGCCTTCCATCAGCACACTACTACTGTCGAAGGTTCCCACGTTAAAGGAAAGTATAACTGACCCTAGCGATCTTATTATCCACTTCGGAAGCAATGCTACCAAGTGATGTCATGCAACCCGACCTCAAGTGGCACTCTGACGTGGTGGGCTTGAGTGCTGCAGTGATCCCGCGGGCTACCCTGGCTAAAGCTTCACTCCACAAGGTACAACCATGCCAGGAGGGCCAAAGTGTGGCATTCGGACCAAGAGCAGCGAGATGCTGTACTATGAGTAATCGTACTACGAGACGGTCTAGGTGTAAACTCGTGCTGCCCTCTGCGATGCGAGTATGGAGGCAGTAAGGTGTTTCCCCCAGGCGACCAGCCTGTCCATAATTACGAAAATATTAATCCTCAGATCGCTAGCCCCGAACGGCCCTGCGGGCTGCTGACTATCCATCACGGGAGATGATGATTGTCCTGTGGACCTCTCCTCTATGGTAGCTCTCGTGCATTTCCTGGAACAAATCAGAATGTCCCAAATCTTAGCCTACCAGACACTTCGTCGATATCACGCTGAAACTTCTCCAGGAAGTTTTAGATACCAACACCAACGAAGAAGATATCCACTTCTCAGCCAACTAGAAAAATCACTAATGTGGAGCTGGCTGCTGATCAAGTGGCAGTTGATCTGTTCGCTGAGCCTGACAATCGACTTGCGAACGCTTCATCACCATGCAAACAGACATCGTCAGTGCCCGGTTGGGTGGGATGTTGTTCAGTTTCAACAGTCCTTCGGTTCCTAGCTGCCATACTGTCCGAAGGAAACACAACGGCTGAGATGCTGCAAGGTCGCCCAAGCCCAAACATTAGCAGTTCAGGTGCAGAGTCTGGGTTCGAAACACAGACCTTCCGCCTCAACCACTGAACCAACTCGTGACAACAAACAGCAGAGGTTCGAATACTGGCCTACGAAGCACCTGAATACTTGCGGTATGTGGGGGGGGTCGCCAAAAGCACTCTCACGAGCCGCGGTGTCCGACAGGGATTTCCGCCCCATTCATCTTTGTTTATTTGTTACTACCGATATATTGGGGCGAACATTAGAACTGCGAAACCTAGTGTTCAGATCTGTCAGAGCGAGAACCCTGTTGACCTGGACCATGCAGACGAGATGGGCGAGATGGTCCAAGTGGTTAGTGCGCGAATTTACTGACCGGAAGGTTCGTGGTTCGAATCCGACCTCCGCCACTCGACTTCTCCTGTCTAGGCTTGGACAACCTGGCAGTATCCTAGCCCTCGTGCTCCCTTCGGGTGGTATGGCAGCTAGGCACCGGAACGCTACAGCTGAACGCTTTCTTTCTATGCAGACGACAGTGTTGTCATTTTTGAAAAAGGGCAAGAATCGCAATCATCACCAGAAAAGCCGACCGAGTCCAGTGCTTCCATCCAGACCCTTGGCATTTGCTCCGCGCCCACAATGTTCTGAGGCGTTCCGCAGGGCGTACAGTTTTTGAAAATGCCCTTAAGGATTCAAGGAGTGACATCGTAACTATGTTATGGGATATCGAAGGCAATTCTTTTCGGGACCAGTTTGGGGATCCATGGATGCATGTATGTTGACACTTATTGAAAGATTTCCTTCCTAATTCCGTACGATCAGCAAAGCCCTTTGTTAGTTACAGGTAAACAACCGAAGTAACCATCATGAAGAGAGTGGATTTTACCGCGGTGTGACGGTTTGCGTACCTCGGCGACCCACTGAGCTACACTGGAGTGTGTTCCCACGACACTCACAGGCTAGAGCACTCACAAAGTGTAAGGTCATGATCGTGGACGTGCAGTCACTGAACGCGCCACTTAAAACCCAGGGTGAGATACTGGAAGTTGTGGAACGTTTTAAGTATCTTGGAAGTTGAATTAGTTCTGATTGTAGTGTGACAGATGAGGTCAGTGCACGAATCTGCAAATCCCGGGTCGCGCTTGCTGATTTGGGACACCTATGGCCTCGGAGTGGTGTATCCCTGAATCTCAAGGGACGTGTGTATCAAGCTACAGGGCGGGTTGTTTTGTTGTATGGCTGAGACTTGGCCTGTTCGAGCAGCGGAGCTGAGACGTCTTCAGGTGTTCGACAATCGTTGTCTTAGAACCACAGCTCGTGTGGGTTGGTGTCCGCGTATCCGTAACGAGGCAACTAAGAAGCGAGTTCTCGGTTGTGTAACGCGTACTTCCATGGAACAACGTGTCCAGCACCAAAAGTTGCGTAGGTTGGGACGTGTGTTGTGTATGCTGAACCACCGTTTGAGAAGAGAGTGCTGTTTTTCATATCCTACTCAGCGTGGCGTAAGCAGTGAGGTAGCCAACCCTTGAATTGGTAGAGGGGTATAAAGGAGACTACGAAACGCTTGAGTGCTGTCGGTGCTACTCGCCTCCCAGTATGCGGATCGCGTGATCCCTACAGCGCCCGGTTGGAGACACTGATATATGGCTGGCAACTGAAGTCAGTCGGTTTCTAAATATATTGCCTGAGTGAATGTCTGGAGGTGTTGTCACCTCGGAATGATTGTACTAAGCTAGCATTGAGTCCCTTCCTCGTCCACCTTTATTCTATTCTTTACAATAAGGCTTTCAAATAAATCATAGTTGTACGGTATCAAAGCATCGGTGTGAAACACTGATGTCATGATGTCGATGATGACTGATATGATAATGAAAATGATGAACCGTATTCGATAAAATACAGGGCAAATTACACGATCCCTCGTGCTCCAAATCTTGTTAATTTTATAATCTAATCAGCACATTGTTTTTTATAAAAGCTACTGTTTGCTTCTGTTTGTTATTAAATTCCAAATATATAAACCCTTCCCATCATGCCTATCTTAGTTTCAAACACGGTGAAGGCAGACTGCGTGATTATTAGTTAATTGAGCAAGCTTGCTCAATTCCTAGTTAACTATAGTTAGCTTCATAAACGCGTGACCCGTACGACTTTCTTCATCGAATATCAATCCTCGGGTAAAAATTTGCAGAAAAAAAGATGCGTGACAGAAGGGAGGAAGTCACCCAGTGCTTACCAGATTTTTAAGATCCATACAAGTGGAGGTCCCAAGGAGTTCCACCCGGGACAGGACCAAACCCCAGGGCAGACAATGTCGGAAAGCTTGGTTGTGGTTGGTTCAACTAATGCACGGTCGTGACCTTGGCACGCCCCAAGGCCCTAATAAACCCAGTGTAGTCTCTCCGTGACACTCATTCCGCAACGAGTGGGTTGGACCAATAGCATCGGTGAAGCGGTCGGTCGTTAAGGTTGTGGAACTTGCAGCATTAGGCTTTGGTGCCGTTAATCACAGTGTCAGGCTGATGAGGGAATGTGGAATCCGTTGTCAGGTGCTTCATTTCCCAATTGCTCCAGCAGGCTCAAATCGTTCCTGGTAATGGGCGCACCCTGCATGGTGGAGACTTCTCCAAAATATGTTTCTTGAGACATGCTTTCGATTGGGCTTCTGCGACGCAGCTGGGTGACGGTCCCACTCGTTTACTAAAAGTGCGAGATGATGCGCTGGAAAAACTACTTTGTTGTTTATCTCGCTTGGAAAATTTCAAGTCCTCTGGCACCCTGCTTATTAATTAACGAAATGGGAACTGCATTCGCAAACTTTTAGGCTTGTCTGGTCCCTGCAAAATGGGAACAGGTCCCTCCAACGGCACCCGCGGGTTCAGTCGTTCCCAAAGCCTGCGTGTGGTAAAAGTTAAGAGTAAAGCTCATTTTTAGAACCGCCG